TAGTAACAAGAAGCTACTAGTAACAAGTGCATCGCTTCTAGTAACAAGTGCCTTACTGGTAGTAACAAGAAGCTAGTAGTTAATTTAATTCTAATAGCTTTTTGGTTACTAGTAGTAAGGCACTTGTTACTACTAGCGAGGCACTTGTTACTACTAGCGAGACACTTGTTACTACTAGTAACAAGAAGCTACTAGGAGCATTGACGTCCACCGCAACAAGTTCTGACGGCAAGACACGACTCAAGACGGTCAACTGCAGCGACCTTCAAAGCTGTGTCTCTGGTCTGGAACACGTTCGACTGACAATCGCCCGAAGGTTTGGCTGGTCTTTGCAGTGTTTGTGCACCTGGAGTACTTACATGACATTTGCACATCAATGTAAGTGGAGCCTCTTTGCTGGTCGCGGTCGGCTGACTTCGGCTTGTTGCTTCACACAGCTTGCCGCACAAGGCACACCTTCACCCTAGTAGCGTCCTTGCTCCTAGTAGCGATGCCAGGAGCCCCTAGTAGCGTTCTTGTTACTACTAGTAAGGCACTTGTTACTAAGCGATGCACTTGTTACTAGTAGCGTCCTTGCTCCTAGTAGCAATGCTTTTATCATTTACTTTCTGTGGGGCACTGGGAGCCAGTCGATCAGCCAAGTTCGTGTCTAGACTCGGTCCAACCTGGCCTCAAGAAGTGTCACCAACAGCCCCACGTGGAACATAGTCAGTGGCTTGCCTAGTAACAAGTGCATCGCTACCCTCAAGAAAGTGCCGCAAATCAACCGCAACCATGATCCAAGCGTCGCCGGGCTCACACACTCGTAGGCTATTTGGTCTTCAAGGCTATTGAAGGCTTGTAAGTTACGGCACAACAATTGCACCTCAAATTGTGAAGACAGACAGAGAGAGAGAGAGAGGACGGCTTCTTGAGCAGACAAGTCCCAAGCCTCAACGACCTTGTTCACAGCGCATAGGGAATCGCAATCGCAGTCACGAGCCAGGCACAAATTGAGTAAGAAACTACAGCCCCTTTACACACATTAAAAAATCTATCAGAAGCTCATTATGCTCTCTGTGCGGGTAGTCGCACGAACACTTTGTAAAAGTATGGTAAGAGTCTTCTAAGAGCATGGACGAGTGTCGACGTCAGAACCAATCAGAAGGCCAGCAACTTGGGCGATTTAATCAGGTTGCCACCAATTAAATCATCCACATCATGTCGAACACCACTCCCACTTCCTATCAACTTCTCTTGGGATACTTTCATCCGGAACCGAGATATGAACACATGGACGCTGCCGAGCGCACATCACGCACGCTTACCTCCAAGGACCTGCCAAGGGGCAAACCAGGCAGCCACCCTCACCAACACTGCTCGCACACTGAGAATGTTGGCAATATCTGTTTGCAAACCTAAGATGTTTTGCCGCATCTGTCAAGCTGTGGTGAGGTAGTCACCATGACTCAAGGAAATGCTTGAGCAGCAACAATGAACAAACAGGCTTTATTCATAGATTCATAGCCAACATTCCCTAAAACTTTGGGCTCCCCAAGCCAAGATGCAGTTTTGACTTCACAATGTCACTAGCTTGTGATATTCACATGGCTTTGAGGCTCCACTGCAATACGAAACCTGTAGTCTTTACAGGGAAAAACAAAAATCCCCAACCCCTTTAATCTTGTTTTGCTCGGTTGGAGCCCATCGCTCTTAGGTTGGAGGCCGTCGCTAGTAGGTTGGAGGCCATCGCTCTTAGGTTGTTGGAGGCTTAATCGTGCTGACTTTGAGCTTTCAAGTACCATACCCCACCAACTCATCCAAGGCTCGGCAGCACTTTGGCATGCTTGCAGGTATACTGCGAAAGAGAAACAGCATCGCAGACCACAGCAGTAGCACGGCCAAATCTATTCGATGGTCGTTGTCTTTCAAATTCGCAACCGTGATTTGAGACAAGGGTGGGGCACATGTATAGTACCCAGTGCCCAATAGGCACACAAGAAGAAGAGGACACGCTAGTAGAACGGTGCCTTGCGCCGTGCGAGGTGCAAAAACGTTTGAAAAAGGGCAAAGCGTTGGTGCAATTGCGGGCATTTTCAGAGGCTAGTACTAGAGTAGATGGGGAAAATATTCAAACCCCTGAATCAGATACTGTCACACCCCCCTTACTTCCAAAGTTCAATGTTAAATGCGACTTCCTTCAATTCACCTTGCCAAGGCTTGATTTGATTGTCCATTTGCGCAAACACTCTGGCAGGCACAACACTGAAATTTGGGGCGTTTTATCTATCTATATATATATATATTGTGTGTGTTTATTTATATATGTGTGTGTTTGTGTAAATGTTTGATTTATGTGTATATATATATATATGTAGCACGCATATGTAAATATACATATGTATATACATGTATTGTGCACTTTTGTTTACATAATTTGACATGCCTTTAGATCTGTTGAAATATATCGTTGTATGTTTACATACACTTCAACACCGCTAACCAGGGGGCGCAGCTTGGCGCTATCCCGAGATTGTTCGTAAAGGGTTTTTCTTCAATAGGCAGATTCAAGCACTACGCACGGTTAACACTAGACATACACCGGTGTATAAACGCGAGAACTGACATCACCACGAGATTCACTATATAACAGAATAAAGTTTGAACGCGAGAGTATCAATACAAGAGTCGGAACATGAAGTATGAACATGGACATGCGTGTTGATCAAGCCTTGTCTTCAGCTCCTGTAGACCCTTTGCAGCCTGAGGTAAGCTAAGAGTGCAGCAAACAACTGTGATCCCCGCGAGTACTCTAAACGTTAAAACAAACACGTAATATATATCTATATAACTAGATATACATGCAAATGTAAATACATAGTGTATGTGTATTTAAATGTATAAATATACGTGTGTGTGTATATATGACATATGTGTTTGTATATGTATAGACGCATACGTGCGTATATGTATGTACTTGTATCTATTTCTCTTTTAAAAAGGTTTCTCAACATTCATCAATGTTTCTTCATCATTTTTGCAAGTACGTAACTCTATATATATAATATATAATTTACATTTATCACATGCATCAACGCTGCTAACCAGGCCTGGCTTCGGAGTCACCACGCTTTCCCCGAAACCATTCGCGCAGGGGGTTCTTCACGGCAGATTCAAACATGAGATGTCTCTTTACACGGTCTCCTGACGCTAGCCAGACATACACCGGTGTATCAAAATGATGACATCACCACGAGTCACGAGAGTAATTAACATAATAGATTTTGAACGCGAGAGTATTAGCACAAAAGAGTACGAACGCAAAAGGGAGTCTGAACATGGGAGTGTGAACACGAGAGTAGCAAGGCAAGTGCATTTACACGAGAGTATAAGTGTGTGTGCACTTGTGCATATGCTTCTATCATTGCAAACTCTTAAACTGCATGTGTCTAAATGTGCATTTGTGTAGGTACATGTATGGATATACGTTTACGAAACACTCGTAAATGTGCATGTGCGCACAGACGCTTGAAAATATACCTATGTGCCATATGAACTTAACTCGGACCACACTGGTTTGCTTGTGGTCCTCAATTTGTTTGAAAGGTGTCCCCTCAAATGATATAAAAAGCAACCCGCCGCCAGCCCGCGAGCCCGCGCCGAGCCCGCGCCGAGCCCAGGCTGAGCCCGCAGCCAACCCGCAAGTGGGCCCGCAAGTTGACCCTCACACGGTTCCCTATTGGTTGGAGGCCATCGCTCTGAGGGTGGAGGCCATTGCTTCTCTTGCCAGTATGGCACGAGTTACAGCTGGCGACCTTGAGGAGTACCAGGTTGGACGCTACCACGCGAGGACCCGGAGTAGCAGGAGTGGACTGCAACATCCTTTGCGAAGACTTCCAAAATGATCGAAACTGCTGATGAAACACAACAGCGCCCAAGGCCATAGCAAGAATGGAACTTATCACTGTGACCTGGGCACTCCAGATTCTAGGTGAATAATAAAGGAAGGCAAAGTTCTCCTCTGCTGAGATCCAGCTTACGTTGAGTCTCTGGCCGTGGCCGACCATGTTTCCCATGACCACAGTGGCATAGGTCGCAACCCCCTCGCTGATGCTTTCAGGCAACTCGCAGGAGAAGCGGTTGTGGTGAAAGGTTGCTTTCGCAGGCTCGCCGTTTTGACATGTCTTGCACAGGTCCGGGCAGTTCCTATAGATGATCTGCGTTGAAAAAAAAACTAGAACAAGAAGGCGGAATGGGAAACACTGTCCATGGTCTGCAAAGAAATGCAAAGCAATGCAAAGCAAACCCCAAACCCATCCTTTTGACCAACTCCATCTCTTCAGCTGAAAGGAGCTTCTGACTTTGCGCTTCATCCTGCGAAGCAGACGGTGAAGCCTGCAGCGGGCTGCAATCGGTTTCGTTTCCCGGAGATTGCCGGGGTCGGAGTATCAGACGCAAGACACTACAGCCAAATCCACGGACGTTCATCTTGTCGTTGTCGATACACGGTGAAGTGAGCTTCAAAGGGCCGATCGCACCATCCAGAGAGTTCTCATGTAAAGTCAAAACGGCGAGATGGCTCAAATTTTGCAGCGATTCTGGGACTGCACCGGACAAGTCATTGCGATGCAGAGCCAAGACCACCAGCTGAGTGGCATTGATGGCTGGAATGCGACCATGTAGACGGTTGTTGTTCAAGGAGAGATGCTTCAAACTGTTCAACTGCATCAGGCATGCCTGGTCAGCGTGAAACCGACCAACCATCAGGCCTAAGAAGTCCCAACGTGGCTCAGTTACCTAATTGCGGCAATAGCGATGGCCTCCAACTTAATAGCGATGGTGACGGTTATGTTCGCAAAAACATAAACAAATTGCCCAGATGCGGGAATCTTCCCCGTGAAAGAGTTGTGGTTCAGCCGCAGCCCCTGTAAGCCTGTTCTCTTCTCTCTCGCTGCTTCAGCACTCTTCTTTCTCCTCTTCCTTTTTCTGAATCGTCGATTTTTCGTTGCTCTTTTCTTTCCTCTTCTCCTTCCTTTCTCTCCATCTGCTACGTTTTCTCGTTTGCGTTGCTTCGCTTCCCCTTTCGTGCAAAAGGCTTCAGTCCAAGTGAGGTTGCCTATGAAGTTGTTGCGGCTCAGATCAACCTTGGGCTAAGCGACAAGCGAGGAAATGTCGCGGCCAAATGGAACACTCTTGTTACGAATGGAGCAAAGGGCATCGCTACTAGGAGCAAGGACGCTACTAGGGGCTCCTGGCCGTACTACTAGGAGCAAGGGCCTTACTACTAGTAACAAGAAGCTAGTAGAAACAAGAATTAGTAAATGATCTCAGGTTCTCACCTGTTCGGTTCCAGGCTGCATTGCCGGCAGCTCTCCACTCAGTAAGTTGCGACTGAGGTCCAACGTCTGCAAGTGAAGCAACTTGGTGAAGTTCACGGATATCCTATGAGGAGGCCATCCCTACAAGGTTGGAGGCCATCGCTACTAGGGTGGAGGCCATCCCTACAAGGTTGGAGGCCATCGCTACTAGGGTGGAGGCCATCCCTACAAGGTTGGAGGCCATCGCTACTAGGGTGGAGGCCATCCCTACAAGGTTGGAGGCCATCGCTACTAGGGTGGAGGCCATCCCTACTGGGGTGGAGGCCATCGCTACTAGGGTGGAGGCCACCCCTACTGTGGAGGCCATCCCTACAAGGTTGGAGGCCATCGCTCTAGGGTGGAGGCCATCGCTACTAGGGTGGAGGCCATCCCTACAAGGTTGGAGGCCATCCCTACAAGGTTGGAGGCCATCGCTACTAGGTTGGAGGCCATCGCTACTAGGGTGGAGGCCATCCCTACAAGGTTGGAGGCCATCGCTACTAGTTTGGAGGCCATCGCTACTACTTTCGAGGCCATCGCTACTAGGGTGGAGGCCATCCCTACAAGGTTGGAGGCCATGGCTAGGGTGGAAGCCATCCCTACAAGGTTGGAGGCCATCGCTACTAGGGTGGAGGCCATCCCT